ATGAGTGGTTATTGTAATTGAAAGCTAGGAAAACTGGAAATACACAAGTGAGTCTCAAAAGAAATATAAAAAGCGCCATAATGAAATGAAAAAAGCTTCTGGTTGACATGAACATAATCAAAGTCTCAGGTTTCATAGAACCTAGTGGTTGTTAATTATTTCTCTCATAAGAGCCATGACATGATAACTAATCATCTCTCTCCTACTTTGCAGCTGCCTAAAGTGAGCAAGCCGGGCATTTATACTGTAAAATGCGTATAAGCTTCAAAAACAGCAGGCTATTGAGTTGTGCTGACCCAGAATCATGATGCTGTAAAGGTGGTGTCTAGTTTTAGGAAGGACTTATCTTTTGAGGCCAGGAACAATGAACTTGGTGGGCAATAAAATCGCACTTGTCTTCTTCCTGCATACCAGAAAAAGGATACCAAATAGGTGACGGGAAGGTCTACTGTTTCTGCCAAGAAACACTTTTTTTTTTTTTTTTTTTTTGCTCTCACCTGAGGAGGCTGGGATGTAAACCTTGTGTTATCTTCTGCTGCCTTTCAGGAACACTACCAGGAGCTGCCTGGAAAGCAGAGCACTCTGGAACAGAATGCTTTTTCACATATGGGATGCTGATGCAAGCAAGCTGAGGCTTAACAACCTGTTCCACATGTTTAGCTCCTTCTTAGACTTTTATATTAATTCATTCAATGATCTACATATTAGCTAATAAATTAATTGCATTTGATATATTTTTTTCAAAGTTAATCTTCAATGTGACAGGAAATGCCATGGCTATTGCTGGCATTTGGGGACAGAACTAGTAGACAGAGGAAATCCTGGGTTTCTGTTACTCTTTGTATGCTAGAAGCTCTACTCATACTGGAGGCTGGCATTGCACACAGTGGCTTAAACTACTACACTACAATACTGATCCTCAAAATTATGTTTGAAAAAGACAAAGCTGTGGGAAGAGCACTGAGTGAAGCAAATCCAGTATTTCCTAGGATGCCTATATCCCATGTGAGAGAGCCTGGATTACAGAATCCAATTCATCTTCCTGCCCAAACACATTGTGGGAAGCAGCAGGTAATGGCAAGAGCTGTTGGGTCCCTGCCACCCATGTGGGAGACCTGGAATCAATTCTTGGTGCCTGGCTTCAGCCTGACCCAACACTACCTATTCCAGTAATTTGGGGATGGAAGGAACATGCAGGAGATTTTCATCTCCCTGACTTTCTGTCTTTGCTTTATGATTTATAGCTATTTATTTTATGTATTTCAAAGACAGATTGACATGGAGAAAATGTGAGACAGAGAGTGGGAGTGATTTTCCATACACTTTCCACACTTTAAGTGACCTCAAAAGCTGGATCAAGGGCAGTCAAAGCCTGGATCTCCGAATTCCATCTAGGTGTTGCATGAGAGTAGCAGGAGCCCCAAGACTCGGGCCATCTACTGCCTCCTTCAGTCACGTTGGCAGGGAGCAGGACCAAAATCCAAGCAGCCTTGCATGGAACACACAGGCTCCCATATACATTACCGGAATGTCAAGATAGAGTAGTAAAACCTTCCTCCGAACAGTGCTGGTACCCTCTCTGCCTTTATAATTAATTAATATACATATTAAAAGTGTGGCATTAAATAATAGGAAAAGCAGTGGCTTACTGTGGGCATTAGGAACCAAACTATATGATGGGATCGATCTCTCTCTCTATCTGCACTATCTTTGTTTTCACACATTCTTTATCCTACTCCCTCTATAGCACTCTCAGTTATACTTTAAAATCAATTAAGACTTTGTTTTCCAAAAGAAAAGCTATGGGATGCACACCTGTTGCAGCAGGGAAGATCATTCTTAGGATGCCCACATCCCACAGTGGAAAGCCTGGGATTGAATACAAGCTGTGTCACCAAGTACAGCTTCTTCCTGATTAGAGGTTGCAGACCTGGATTAAGCTCCTAGCACCTGACATCAGCCTGATCTGGCACTACAATACTGTTGCAGAAATACACAGAGAGAAAGAGAACCATAGTAGATTTCCGATTAGCTGTCTGTCAGTCTGTTTTTCTACCTTTCTGCTTTTCCTTACTGTTTTTAAACATTTATTTACTTAAATCACAGACAGTAAAGGAGAGAGAACTTCCATCCACTGGGTCACACCTCAAATATCCTCAAAGGCTGGGACCAGGCCAGGCTAAAGCCACAAGCCCAGACCTCCAGCCTAGTCTCCCCTGTGAGCGGCAGGGTTCCAAGTAGTTGGGTTACTTGCAATGACTTCCCAGGTACATTAGCAGGGAGGTACATGGGAAGCACAGCAGCTGGGAATGGAAGCCATGCTCCCACACGGAATTTCAAGCACTGACAATGTTCTGTACCATAGGACTCAGCCTTGTAATTAATTAATAACTTACTTAATATATGCTTCAAAGTTAATGTTTAGTATGATAAGGAATAGAATGGATATTGCTGGCATTTGGGGACTATACTAGCAGATCGGAGATCTCTGTCTATCCACCTTCAAATACGCAAAATTGCATGCTAGCATTAGATGTGGTTGTTGTGGCTAAGATTTCTTTATTTATTTGAAAAGCAGAGTTATAAAGAAAGGAAGTCAGAGAGAGAGAAAGAGGCCATCTTCTGATTTCCCAGGCACATTAGTAGAGAACTGGATGGAAAGTAGAGCAACTGGGACTCAAACCCATGCTCGTATGGGCTTTTAGTGTTGCAATGGTGACTCAACACAGCCACAACATAGGCCTCATATTTTCTTAAAGAGCTAAAGGCTTGTGTGTCCACTCACTTGGGAGACCCGCTTCTCACTGAAATGCAAATGATTGGTTCCTAAGTTATATTTCCAAAGGTTTAATGCCCTTTTCTGTGAAAATTTTAAAAATTTACATTCAGAGCTTCTTGGAAGAGAAATTTCTGTAAACTTGTTAATGAGAAAGACACTCAAGAGCCAGGTTTGGACAAGGAATTATCCACACTGAATGGGGAGAAAAATTCTGTCTTTGCTTGTGGCTTTGGCTTATTTCTGGAAGTCAGACAAATTTACTGCATTGGTAAACTGCTAAAAAATGTTAGCTTGATGTAGCATCAATTTATTTTTATTCTTTATAAAGATTTATTTTACTTAGTTGGAAGGCAGAGTGACAAAGAAAGAAACCGAAGGAAATCTTTCATCTGCTGGTTTTCTCCCCAACTGCTGGAGCTGGGCCAGGCCAAAGCCTGAAGCCACAAATCCCATGCAGGTCTTTCATGTAGACGCAGGGGTCTACGCACTTGGGCCGTTGTCTGCTGCTTTTCCATGAACATTAACAGCGAGCTGGACTGGAAGCAGGGCAGCCAGAACTCAAACTGCAAGCCGTGGCTTAACCCACGGTGCAACAATGCCAGTCACAGAAGTGAATTTTTAGAAAAGTCACTGCTGGAGCAAAATTTCATGGGAAGTACTAGACTGGCCTTTATTTTATACAAAGTTAAGCATACAGAACTGAGAGAAGGGATTCTTATGAAAAATAAATTTTAAAAAATCTCTAGATATTTTAATGATTAAAGGATTGGATCCAAGATGGTATAAGGAACATTCCTGTGCATTATGTTAGCTGACATATGATAGAGATGTGCCTTATACCATCTATCTCCATTTACCTATACTTCTAGCTATATTTTATCTACACTTCTATCTCCATTTGCCATGTGAATGCCCAACCTGCAGTTAATGCCAACAAGACCAGTGACTGGCTGACAGGTCAGACACCCTGCTGGTTCATGGGTCCCCAAATGCCAGAGAACCATGAACCAGCAGGGTGTCTGACCTGTCAGCCATGAACCAGCAGAGAAGGGGACATTGCTTTTGCCTAACCAGGAGACCACTTTGTGGAGCGGTCTCCTTGCCTTTTCAATCATGCCATGTGTATGAGATCTGCCCCACAAAGCCAATGGTTTTACTGCAAGTATACTACTTTACTTAAGAAAACCTGGATCTGCCCACCAGTGGGTAAGTGTTGGCACTGGGGTACTACACTCACCACAGGATCCTCTCTTGTCCTTATTTAACCTTGAACAACCCACAGTCCTACTGTGAGAACGTAGCTTGTTAGTGGTCACATCCCCTTACCGTGTTCCACTTGTCATTGGTTTCTGGGTGAATAAAAACAAGAAGTGTGTTGAGACGATAAGAGTCTACTCACCATCTGAGTCTGAATGCCAGGTATCTTTACACTTTGGTGCTGCTGCATGTGATGGGGGGTGGGTAATGGAATTAAAAACAACATAGCCTGGGCCTTTGATTTTCAAACCACAAGTGAGGAAGCAGAAGAGCTCCTTTATTGACTGGACATGGACACAGAAAACATGGTTCACTGGGAAGAGCCCTAACATTGTCTTTTTCAAAATTAAAATGCATCCCATAACAAACACACACTTGTGCACTGATTGTAAAGTCATTGTTTCAGAACATTGACTGAAGGAATTTTGAAAAGCTCAAGGGCAAAAGCATACTCCATTACTCGAGACAGCAAAAAAAGCTCATGGAATCATATTACATACAAATTGTAAACATTAGTCAATAGCATTTCAAATACCAAAGATCTTCAAATGGAGCACTTTAGTGACAAGTTAGTTGTCTTTTTAACATGTACACACTCACTGACACACTCTGATTGGTTTGCGTTGACAAAGGTTGTCTAAATTCCCTAAAGGAAAATGAAAAATTAAAAATATATTAATTTTTCATTACAGTAGGCAATTACATCCACATCACTTACAAAGCTATTACTGATTCTGTCCAAGAAAGCAGACTGGCATAGAGGAAGGAAACTCGAAGGGAAAGTCAACAGTGACATAACTGAATCTCAACATGAGAAAACTGACAAAACATGGGATTTTGCTGTGAAATTTCTTTTTGCAAAATATGGAATTAAGTCTATCACAGGGCATTAAATAAGAGAAGGTGGTGAACATCTGCTGTCCGTTATCCTCACAGTATCGAGCAGATGCATCAGGAGAAGGGTTTAGTCTTTCTCTGGAACCAGTTTCAGGACTTTTCCAATTGCAATGGTCTTACCCTCATCTCTTAGAGTAAAGCGACCCATCTGAGGAAAGTCTTTAAAAGTCTCAAGACAGATAGTTCCGGCTGTCCTTAAACGGGCTATACACACTTGATCTTGTTTCACGAAGCGGGGCCGGATCTTACTCTTTTCTCCTGACTTTTTGTCGACAAGGGAGATTAAGGCTGTTATCTCCACTTCTTCAATACAAGTGTGGATGTGCAGCACCGCATTATAACCCGGGCAGATGATGGATTTGTGCTCAATGATCACGATCTGGACATCGAATGTGCGTCCAGAATGGCAGAGATTGCTTGGGTCGCAGAGTATGAATCCCGGAAGAATCTCTTCTTCTTCAATTCCCTTCAGCCTGATTTTGAGATTTTCACCTGGGGCCACAAAGTCAGTCTCAGTGTCATCAGAAAGAATTCCAAGAACCTCTACGTTGTGCTTGTTTGGCATCATCACGAGCTGCTGGCCTTTATAAATGGATCCTGATTCCAGCTTCCCCAGAACTACAGTACCCATGTCCTTGTACTTGTCCACAATTGGGAGCCTAATGGGCCCATCGATCGACCTGTTAAAGTTTGGCAAATTATCCAGATAAGGAATGAATGGTAACCCCGAATACCAAGGGCACAGATCTGACTGCTCTTTAATATTGGCTCCGGTCAGTCCTGAGCAGGGCATAAAGTGAATGTCCTTTTTGGGACTGAAGCCGACTTTTTTCAAAAATGGCACCAGCTTTTCTTTACATTCTTCGTATCTCTCACAGCTCCAATTTACAGTGGGGTCATCCATTTTATTAATAAGCACAACCAGGTGTTTCACTCCTGCTGTTTTCGCCAACATCGCATGTTCTCTTGTCTGTCCACCTTTCTCAAAGCCAGTTTCAAACTCTCCCTTCCTGGCAGAGATCACCAGCACAGCCAGATCGGCTTGAGAGGCACCTCCAATCATATTTGGGACAAAACTCTTGTGGCCAGGGGCATCTAAAATCGTGAAATGCTTCTTTTCAGTCTCAAAATAGGCACGACCCACTTCTACGGTTTTTCCCTTGTCTCGTTCTTCCTGGTTGGTATCTAACGCCCAGGACAAATACCAAGTTTCTCGGTTTTTTTCCTTAGCTTCTCTCTCATATTTCTCCAGTGTCCTTTTGTCAACCATCCCAGTTAAAAACATTATCTGCCCTCCAATGGTTGACTTGCCGGCATCCACATGCCCGATGAATACCACATTTACATGTTCTTTTTTGGGAGCACTTGAGGGCACGATACTAGACTTGGATTTTCTTGTTTCCTCTTTCTCCTCCATCATTCCCTGGCCACTTTCTTCTGGGGGCCCTGAATCACTCAGAGAACAACCCCCAGGCTCTGCTTCACTTACTTCTTTACTGTGCTCCCACGATTCTTCCAGGATCATTTCCATCTCTCCATTTTCTACAAGCGGTTCTGAAAGTTTCATGGTAACAGCTGAATTGGAACCTTCACGCACTACCAGTTCCTCTTTGGGAGGTTCCACAGGTGCCCCCCGTCCCAGCCTTTTACCTGCAACGTCTCCCACGCGGGTGCAGTTCTCATCCGTGCCGGCAGCGGAGGCGGGCGGCTGCGGTGAGCCCCGCAGGTAGGACGGCACGAACTCCGCGGCGTGTACATTAGGCACGAAAGGTTTGGCGTTGACGTTGAGCTGACGGCTGAAAGCCGAGCTGAGATGCTCGCGCTGGGCCTCCACCACCGCCGAGGAGGCGGCTCCGTCCCCGCTCGGGGCTGAACCTGGGGGGGTGTCCATGTCCACCTGGTCCCAGCACTCGGGAGCCGAGTCGCTGCTGCTGCTGCTACCGGGATCCATGCCCGTAAAACCAGGTGTGGGGCGAGGTCAACAGGCTAGAAAGAGCGGGCTGTCCCGGCTGGGGGAAGGCGGCAAGAGCGGAGGGGAAGGGAGTAGCGTCAGGAACCTTAGCGGCACCGCGAGGCAGTGAAGTGCCGATGCTGCATTCGCAACTGCAGCAGCAGCACCAGATATGGCGGCGTAATGCTCTCCTCCTGTGTGTGAGCGGATCTCCTCCCCTAAACCTCAACCACTTCCGACTCCTCCACCCCCGACCCAACGCCAGGCGTGGATTGACCCGTCTCTGCCATCCGTAGGCTCATGCCCCTTAGTTCTCAGCCAGAGGTTCAGTCCTGAAGTGGGATATTTTGAAAGAAAATTCTTGTTCATTTTCTTCACGTTCACAAGATCTAGGGAAGGAATTTGATCACAGTCTAATAGGTAAACCAAGTAGGACACACCTGATTTATAATTCTGCCTCAAAAGTCAAGTAAAAATATCAACTCCTTGGGAACACACCAGAGGCAGGATATGGGTTAACTACGCAAAAACATAGCAACGGAAGCGAGAAACACTCAGGCAATACACGAAGATGGAGCAGAATCTAGGCAATGCAAGCGAATTAGAAATACAGATGCCCTTTTGATGCTTTTTCAGTGGGAACCCAGAAGCTTCAACTTTACAAAAAAATTATTTATTTCAAAGCCAGAGTCACGGAGACACAGGGAAGGAGATGTGCGCACACAGAGATGCAGATAATAGAGAAAGAGCTTTCATCTGCTGGTTCACTCCCTAAAAACCGGCAAGGCTAGGGAGGAGCCAAGAACTCCATCCAGGTCTCCCACAGGAGTGGCATCAGCCCTAACACTCAGGTCATCTTTAATTGCCTTCCAGCATGACTGGAACTAGTATCCCACGCCAATATCACTGGTGGCAGCTTACCTCGAGGCACAACAATGCTGCTGGAACCAACATGCAACTTCTTGTTGCGGTATGTTTTGCCGTGTTAGGATTCTATTATATCCACATAAACTGGTAATTTGATTACGACTAATATGACTCGGCTTTGACAGCACTAACTCCATTTTGAGCCTTTTCCTGTAACAACAAGCTGTGAAAGAGCCAAATGTCTAATAGCACTTCATACTGGCCAGCAGCCACATTGACAACAGTGTCTCCGTATGTAGTTGAGATCCTTTAAGTTCAGGACTACTTCCCCTGTAACAGTTGACACGGGGAAGCTAAGATAATACACCTTGCGAGGGGTGAGGCTGGGGCATAGGGACAGGGGTCCGGGTGAGGTGGGTGGTTGGTAGAGCTAGTGCTTTCAAACTGCTTTGGAGACAAAACTCTCCGTGATTCCATTTCCTTTACGTGAGTTCACTCTGAGAAGGCATCAGCTTCTGTAGGCTCTGCTGCAGTGAAAAGCCCTTGACAACATCCTTAACTGTCCAGTGTCACTGGGAAAGGGGGCGTGTTCACCTGGGCCACGTGGAAAACTTCCCCTGTAGAGGCAGAGTGTTTGGCTTGTTACTAGCACTCTGCTCCAGTAATTTTCTTTTTCTTTTCTCTTACTTTGCTGTCTCTTCATATATCTCCGTTGCTTATTTTTGCTTGTTTTACTTCCATGTGTCTTGTAATAAGCCCATTATTTGGGGAACTAAGTCTCACCTGGCTTGTTGCTTGATACAAGGATAAAAAACAAACAAAAACCTGTTTCTCTTGAGTAAAAATTATAATCCTTGAAGTTAGAATTTTCACTTAGTATTGAGGAAAATAAGTTATCCCGGCTGGCCCAGCTTGAAACATCAACTGATGATTTGAACATCTACTCTGCAGCCACAGATTTACAACTTCTCAAGTAACATACCTGTCAGCATGCAGAGAATTCCCAGACAGAACTTTGTCCCGGTAATCTTCCAGACACTTCAGCTGCAGACGCCTGCACAGTGGTTGGACTGACGTCCTGGTGTGGTGGATCACATCCACAAGCACTGGAATCAGATCACTGTGCTTTTCCAAGTTCTTACTCTACTAGCCTCTGGATCCACAAGCCACAGGTTTCCCTTTCTCACTTTAGAAGCTCTAGGAAAAGAATGAGTAGTATCTTGGACTCCTCCCCAGTTAATGCTAAGGACATGGGGCTCTGTCATCCTAATCAAAGCAATTATGATTTCTGAGAAACATGAAATCCTTAAGACCCTAATCAATAGAATCTTGTCCTTGGAAAGAGTTTATGTTTGGATGATATTCTTTGTAAATTATCTTAATTTATAATAAACAGAAAAAAAAAGCCCAAGTTGAGGATAACACAACTTAGTGATACAAGATGAAGTCATGGAGTTGACATTAAGTAAGCCCAACAAAGTAAAATATTATAAGACCAAAGGACATGTTTATGGGTTGAGAACTGTGTTTTCCAGACTATACGGAATAGAAAAAATAATCTTAAACCTCACAGATTTGGATCTTTGATATGTTCAGTAGATGGAAACAACTTTATCACTTTCTCTCTGAATATGTGTGTCTGTGTGTCTCCTGTCACTCTGCCCTTCAAACAGAAAAATAAATCTTTTTAAAATGAATCTTAATGGAGAAATTAAAACACTAGGTAGATGTCCTCACAATCCATCATCTTTAGGATTCAGGGAGAGTCAGTTCAATCCAAGAGAGAGAAAAATCGAACAGGTTAAATCCACAGAGATTGACTTTGGATGAAACTCTTTTGGCTTATATATTGGGGTGCCTAGAACTTTGAAAGAGATAATGAGCTAATGAGAGTTGTCCTCATAAAAAGTGCAGATGGTATCCAGCCCCTGATTAATTCATTTCCCCTTCTAAAATGGTTCGATTGTAAAGTGTAGCACAAATACATAAAAGTGCATAAAACAAAATTATAGCTTGTTCACTTTAGATAAGGGAACACAGTTGTAGTCAAAACTCAATACCAAAAAAAAAAAAAAAGAAAAGAAAAGAAATTTGCCAGCCAACTCAGAAGGTTTCCCTGTGATCTGTGTGATCTCTGGCCAGTCCCTCCACTCCTGAGTGTCATTGCTACCGTGATGGTCATGATAGTCATTTATCTGATTTTTGTATAGTTTTGTCATGAAAATGTGTGTATTTAGATAATGTAATTTGCTATTTTCTAGACTTGCTTTATAGTTATTTTAAGCCTCTTTCAATATACAGGATCCCAATCTGTCCTTTTCTTCATGTTCTTAGATAAATTGAGTGACATAACTTGTGGTATAACTTTCACATTCTCAATTTTTGTTTTACTGTATCTGAAGGTGTAGTTTGGAATATTGTCATCTTCTCTACATTTCCTGAATACTAATAAATGGATCAATCAGCTTCACCTGCTGCAGGTACAGGTATTTGACAAGAACACTTCACAGGGACTTATAATTATATGCACCAAAAGGCATACACGATCGGGTTTTAATTTTTTTAAAGTTAGCAAAAATAAATGACAATTATGTAGAAATACTGAAAATGTAATATTATACCTTCATATTTCTTTATTAACTGGAATACTGCACTAAAAATACTTCTTCATCAAGGATTTTGTTGCTCTGAGGTATACCTGATAAAGGGAAAAAACAGGGGAAACGGTTGATACTTTTTCTTTATGGGGTAGTTTTCACAGCAACAAATTTCACAAGAGGATAAACAATGATAGTTAAAAAGGGGTAATGATTTAAACATATTTGATGTGCTTACATAATTTCCCTTAGTGTGCTTGTTGATGATCATTGACCAGTAGATGCCTTCCCAGGTTGGGTTCTGAATGCGTTGAGTCCATGTTTAGTTATCCTTTGTGGTTGTTTCCCCCCTTATCTACTGTGACAAGCTCTACTAGGGCAATACTCATTTTCAATGATGGACTCAGTAAACAAAACAACCACTCACTTCATTCACACCACCTACACATATAGTAGTGTCACTACTATCACCGTCAAACTGATTACAGAAAGCAGACTGCTTTGCCTAAGCTCTCTTTTTCTGTGCCTTCATGGTTGAATTGCATTTGTAGAATCAGTCAGGCACAGGTCAGATTTCAACGATCCTATATAGGCTGCCTCATTTGATTTTTCTCAATCATCATGTGAAGAAGATAATTTTACCACTTTATTTTATAGATGGAGGAAATATTTAAAGTGCTTGAATGAATTACCCAAGTTCATATAGTTGGTAAGTAATGGAGTTGGGATTCACACACAAGCATTATGATTTCAAGACTACATTGCCTTGTAATATCTATTATATACAAAGAAAGAAACAGGGAGATTAGGCAGGATTAAATCCAAAAATCGAGAAGGAGATGAAAGATTACTTGGAAAGAATGATAATATGGGTAAATTCAACAAAAGGAAGGCTAACTCAGTGCACTTTCATAAGTTCTTATGTTTTCTTCCTGAACTAATATAAAACTTGGTGGAGCTTATGAGGGAGGAGCGTAGTAAGAAAAACAAGGAGTGGAGGTAGATACATACATCATCAGGGTGTGGGGGAGATGGCTGATCATTACACAGGAGCAGCTTTGACTGGATAACATAATACTTCCAGGTTTTGTGATTTTTCCTCTTCCCTTGGCTTACATCTAAATATCATTGGGCAACCTGGGACACATACACTTCATGCAGGTTTTAGCATGAGTGATATCACACAGGCTGAAAAGACACAAACAAGTAGATATCGGGGAGTTAGTGAACACTGGCTTGAGAACATTATACCAGATGTCCTACATTGATTATCTATCTGAGCACATCTGCATTCAAGCTTTCATTTCTTAGACTTGTTGTTACTAGGATTCCAGATGCATTTCACCTTCTATCAATCAAATGATCCCTAGCCATATTTCATTTAAATCATCTCTATGCAGAGAGATATGGGGGAAAGTAGGCATAATTTCCAAGTGTAGATTTAGCTTGGAACTATTTCCCTTGAATAAAAAATTCTGGGGGAGTTGGTTTCACGAGGTCAATTGCATTGGCCAGGTTTTTTTTTCTTTTTTAATC